ATTGAGCAAAAATGCTATAAATATCTGAAAGAAATCAAAACATTTCACATCCCTGGTGAATGGTGACATAATCAGGCTTGAATTACTAACAAACACCATCCTAAACATAACAACATATGATGAACACATCATCAGATAATCCACAAAACAAGAATCTTCTGGAAAAGAATGCAGGCAAACCTTCTAACTTACAAATGTTTGTGTAATCTAGGTCAAGGTGAGATGACATTCAGTGAGTTTGTAGAAGATTCAAAAGAGTCATCCCACTTGATACACAATGATCCAGTGTATAGATCAGTGCTTATCATGTCAATCACTACACTGACTTACCTAGACTTGAATATTTACAGCCCGCAATCAGATAGCTGTAAAAATTGTGACTGCTGCATTAAACTACTAACAAACTTAAAAATCGAAACAAGAGTCATCAGAAGATGACAAATCCCGCAGCCCCCACATATTTGAAAGAACAAATCATCTCACTGTTACTTAAAGTCCAACTTGAAGTTTTTTTAAACAAAGTCCAAATCGTTTCCACGGAAATCATGAAAAATATACATGACAAAAATGTGTAAATAGCAAAAGGCACCACATCAAGATCTGTTTTATATATCTGCCAAGCCTTGTAGAAAGATATTGAATGTTTTTTTAGTTGTGCTCCGGAAACGAAGCCCACCCCTCCCTTTTGAGACTAAGTCCAAAACATTTCCATGGAAACCAAGAAAAATAAAAATGTAAAAATCTGTAAATAGCAAAAGGCACCACTTTAATATCTGTTTGATGTACCTACAAATATTTATTTAAAAATATTGAATGGTTTTTTAGTTATGCTCCAGAAACAAAATGATTACGTTGACTATATCCCCCACACTTACATGCCAACATAATGGCTGCCTGTAAATAATGTAGTCTAGACCAGGTAATCCAGTGATTGATATTATGAGAAATGACTTAGTCACTGGGGTATAATGACACGCAATCAAGCAATTCACCAAGATAGACTGACAATCCATTTAAACCATTACAACCAGCTTAGGTTCCAGGAAACCGATGGGGCCATCACTATAATGGCTGCCTGGAGAATATAAGTAATTGTAGCAGACGTGTGACCATCTACCCCCCTTTACAACAACACACACTTAAGGAGCTTCTCAAACAAGTGATCTGTGCTGTCTCAAGTCAACGGTGTTAAAAAGTTTTAAAAATTAAGTGAAGACTATTTGATTATTTTGCCAGGCTTGCCAAATTGTTTTGAGTCTTCAAGCCCACATTTTTCACATATGTATATGCTGATCTTCCAGGAGCAAAGGACATGTTGAACCAAAGGACTCCTAAATAAGAAGACCTAGGAAGATTACTGGAGTTGTTACACTTTTTCCCTTTGTAAATTAGGCTTCAATATAAATTTAACCCAAATCCCATTTGGAAACACAATTCCTTCAAAAAAAGAAAATAGGAAAGTCAAGTTGATAACAACATCCCTTCAAAAAGTTGAGTCACAAGTCAGAAGTAGTTGTGTAAGGCAGTCGGAGGTAGACATATAGCCAGATGTAGATGTACAGAGCAGTCAGAAGTAACCAAGCAAAGCAGTCAGAAGAAGTCATACAGAGCAGTTAGATGTAGTCAAGCAGAGCAGTCAGAAGTAGCCATGCAGAGCAGTCAGAAGTAGCCATGCAGAGCAGGCAGAAGTAGCCATGCAGAGCAGGCAGAAGTAATCATACAGAGCAGGCAGAAGTAGTGAAGCAGAGCAGTCAGACGTAGTCATACAGAGCAGTCAGAAGTTGTCATACAGAGCAGCCAGAAGTAGCCATGCAGAGCAGTCAGAAGTAGATGTGTAGAGCAGTCAGAAGTAGTCAAGCAGAGCAGTCAGAAGTAGTCATACAGAGCAGTCAGAAGTAGTCAAGCAGAGCAGTCAGATATAGTCAAGCAAAGCAGTCAGAAGTAGTCATACAGAGCAGACAGAAGTTGTCATACAGAGCAGTCAGAAGTAGTCATACAGAGCAGTCAGAAGTAGTCAAGAAGAGCAGTCAGAAGTAGTCAAGCAGAGCAGTCAGAAGTAGTCATACAGAGCAGTCAGAAGTAGTCAAGCAGAGCAGTCAGAAGTAGCCATGCAGAGCAGTCAGAAGTAGTCATACAGAGCAGTCAGAAGTAGTCATACAGAGCAGTCAGAAGTAGTCATACAGAGCAGTCAGAAGTAGTCATACAGAGCAGTCAGAAGTAGTCATACAGAGCAGTCAGTAGTAGTCAAGCAAAGCAGTCAGAAGTAATCACACAGAGCAGTCAGAAGTAGTCATACAGAGCAGTCAGAAGTATTCATACAGAGCAGACAGAAGTTGTCATACAGAGCAGTCAGAAGAAGTCATACAGAGCAGTCAGTAGTAGTCATACAGAGCAGTCAGAAGTAGTCAAGCAAAGCAGTCAGAAGTAGTCAAGCAGAGCAGTCAGAAGTAGTCAAGCAGAGCAGTCAGAAGTAGTCATACAGAGCAGACAGAAGTTGTCATACAGAGCAGTCAGAAGTAGTCATACAGAGCAGTCAGTAGTAGTCATACAGAGCAGTCAGTAGTAGTCATACAGAGCAGTCAGAAGTAGTCAAGCAGAGCAGTCAGAAGTAGTCATACAGAGCAGTCAGTAGTAGTCATACAGAGCAGTCAGTAGTAGTCAAGCAAAGCAGTCAGAAGTAGTCAAGCAGAGCAGTCAGAAGTAGTCAAGCAGAGCAGTCAGATGTAGTCAAGCAAAGCAGTCAGAAGTAGTCATACAGAGCAGACAGAAGTTGTCATACAGAGCAGTCAGAAGTAGTCAAGAAGAGCAGTCAGAAGTAGTCAAGCAGAGCAGTCAGAAGTAGTCATACAGAGCAGTCAGAAGTAGTCAAGCAAAGCAGTCAGAAGTAATCACACAGAGCAGTCAGAAGTAGTCATACAGAGCAGTCAGAAGTAGTCATACAGAGCAGACAGAAGTTGTCATACAGAGCAGTCAGAAGTAGTCATACAGAGCAGTCAGTAGTAGTCATACAGAGCAGTCAGAAGTAGTCAAGCAAAGCAGTCAGAAGTAGTCAAGCAGAGCAGTCAGAAGTAGTCAAGCAGAGCAGTCAGAAGTAGTCATACAGAGCAGACAGAAGTTGTCATACAGAGCAGTCAGAAGTAGTCATACAGAGCAGTCAGTAGTAGTCATACAGAGCAGTCAGTAGTAGTCATACAGAGCAGTCAGAAGTAGTCAAGCAAAGCAGTCAGAAGTAGTCATACAGAGCAGTCAGTAGTAGTCAAGCAAAGCAGTCAGAAGTAGTCAAGCAGAGCAGTCAGAAGTAGTCAAGCAGAGCAGTCAGATGTAGTCAAGCAAAGCAGTCAGAAGTAGTCATACAGAGCAGACAGAAGTAGTCATACAGAGCAGTCAGAAGTAGTCAAGAAGAGCAGTCAGAAGTAGTCAAGCAGAGCAGTCAGAAGTAGTCATACAGAGCAGTCAGAAGTAGTCAAGCAGAGCAGTCAGAAGTAGCCATGCAGAGCAGTCAGAAGTAGTCATACAGAGCAGTCAGAAGTAGTCAAGCAGAGCAGTCAGAAGTAGTGGTATAATGCAGTCAGAAGTAGATGTGTAGAGCAGTCAGAAGTAGTCATACACAGCAGTCAGAAGTAGATGTGTAGAGCAGTTAGAAGTAGTCATACACAGCAGTCAGAAGTAGATGTTTAGAGCAGTCAGACGTAATTGTGTAGTGTAGTCAGAAGTAGATGTGTAGAGCAGTCAGAAGTAGATGTGTAGAGCAGTCAGAAGTAGATGTGTAGAGCTGTCAGAAGTAGATGTGTAGAGCAGTCAGAAGTAGATGTATAGAGCAGTCAGACGTAATTGTGTGGTGTAGTCTGCAGAATGTTTGCTGTGTATAGAGTACTGTTGTACATGGTAGTCAGATATAACCTCAACCTGGTCTATCATCCCATTCTTGTCCTGTTATCAAAGTGTCAAGCCAACACGACATTGGACAGCCATCTTGTAGCTGAGATACACCTCCCATCAGTCTAAAACCAGAATCCCCCAAGATCAGGTCATCCTGACACCATGATTATAGTATTCACTCTGAATATAAGACTTGCAGTTCTAGTTTCAAATTATGGAAACAATTTCACTTTTCACCGCACATTTTCCATATTTTAATATTCAACATATCCAAAATGCATAAACCCAACTGTAATAACACGTTCCAGTTACTTCCAGCATTCCCCTTACATGTGAATATTACTGGGTTGGAATAGACAGCAGTAGTTACACGTATAATATAGTTCCTGCATTGAATTCCCCGATTCCTGGCAATAACCGTCAGTGCTGAACATGCATGGTATAAACACCACAGATCCCTAACCTACAATCACTCATAGTCTGGGAATCCGGAACTGAATAATGTTCCTCGTCGCAGAATATATCGTCCAACTTTAAAATGCATGGGTTGGTGGATTTGAGCGCTTATCAATTCAGCTAGTCACCGGTTACTTCGTAGGCAGATACAGCGTATTCCTGGCACCGAGAGAGAACATTTTAACAGTACAGTCGCAAGTTAAATACCGTCTGCGTGTTGAAATCAATACAACTGCACGCCATAGGCATACGATATTGGAAATAAAACGAATTTCTGAAAAACCAACCCGACCTTTCAAACCACGCTCGATCTTTTCTTCAAAATTGGTTTTAAACATGTTAATGTCATGGCGTTATATATAGAACCCCGCCAGCAAGCAGAATGGTAAACATTAATAGTGACGGGGCTTTGAGCATGTTGGTCTAGGTTTTCTAAAGTCTTAGTGACTTTCGAGTCTGGCGAAACACCAAACAGTATCATAAACCTCTTGGAGTCGGCACTGATCACCAGATCAGAGCGTCTCAACGCTACCCTTGGCTAATTATCCGACAACGACTTCCTATAGTATTGATAGACGGAGCAAGTTGGGCGAACACACCGAGCCCTTGTCCGTCAGAGAAAGAAATCGGTGGAAAATCCTGCCCAATTTTGCATTTGTACTCACAATAGGTTGTCCGTTTCAGCTCCTCAATCTCCTCTGGCTTTAGCTTGCTGTTTTTCTTGCCCATGATGTCCGTAAGTCCATCATAGCTGCCTGTCCGTGAACGAGAACACAACAAGTAGCCTCACAAACACAGTATCACACTGACAACCCAACTTGGCTGTAACTCAATCTGTTCCTCTCGTCTGAAGCCCGCGATCTGGTTATGTGTTACCACTGCCGGTCGCAAACTTGCACGAATTCTCTCACACTCAGCTTGTTGGGGGTGTAGTAATCATCCCTGCCTTGGCTCGTCGCCCTCAATTCTCCTACGGTCCGGCGCTTCCTTACTTTGCCATTCTTAGATTCGCGCCAGTGATCAAAACACTAGCAGACGACAATTGTGTCACGTGATTTGGCAGACTCTCGTGGCACGTGCAGCGAAAGGGCTATGAGGAATTGGTGTATCTGACTTTGCTTCTTTGGGATAGTCACGTTGCGTATCATAGCTCTTCCGCTGGTTATGCATGGGGTATTAAGATCTGTTTGTAGTCGCATTAGAGTGATCTAATTTCATTCATAATTCAACGCAATGGTCCATATAAGTAAAATATTCACGCTGATTGAAGTCGTTGAATGCCCTGCTGGTATTTTTGTAAAAAGCATTTATAATAGGTTCATTTGACAGGGTTTAAGATTCTCACTTTAATGTAATTTACGTTTTTTAGAAATAACGTTCGAATTCCAATTTCGGTGTAACTCCTATTACAGTTATTGACTTCGGTAACACTCCAAGCATTATATTTGATCATTGGCTCATAATACATAAAGTTAAAGAGAATCAGTGATTTTATGTACCTACCAGCCGTTACCTTTTAATCACGTATTTGGTATTTAAAGCGAATCGCGGATCGATAGGATAAAGGGAAATAACCCTTCACAACCCCAAAGCATCTGTATCTACATTAGGGTAGACTGACATTTAGTTCCCCTAAAAGTTATCTTATCCGACTATATAAATTAAAAAATAATCAAATAAAATCTCTAAGAACCCTGAAACCCCAAAGCATATGTGCCTCCGGTAGAGTATACTGACAGTTAGTCTCAGAAAAATTATCTTATCTCAATATATAAATCTAACAAATAATCAAATAAAATCTGAAAGGAATCCTGAATTGTCCTCAGTTTCAGAACTGACACAGTCTAAACTTGCCTAATCATTTTAGACTTGAGTTGGGCTACTTTTGGAAGTATTTCTGGGAGGCTGCTTCTGACTGCTCTGCGTGACTACTTCTGACTGCTCTGCATGAATACTTCTGACTGGGGATAGAGTGTCTCACAATCCATAAACCACATTATTTTCCATTCCGCCGAGCTGTCTTGCAATGAAAAAATCTCTAAATGAAGCAAGTCTACATCTACTGGGTTCAGAATATCTCAGTTCGAGGCTCCTTTTCAATGTTAAGGGAACTTGTTGGGTGAGTGAGTGTTGTTTTACGTCGCTCTGGGTGTGAAATATTCTTGTAATTTGAAATATTGCTTTCAATTTGGGTGTAAGGGAAGTTCAAATTTGTTTCCAATTTTGTTTGTTTAATGCGCGCTCTGTAATAGTCCTGTTTTATAACGGTGGTCTGTAAATAGTAGAGCATGGCCCGTAGTGACTGTCGACGCAATTTGGGCCCGAAGACATGCATCAACCAATCCACCATGACTTACAACCCTACCACCCTAACTTCAGTGACGTGCAGATGGAGTCGACTTGTGTTTTAACCTTCAGTTTCACACACGCACGAGTAAGTGAGTGAGTGAGTATGGTTTTACGCCGCTTATAGCAACATTTCAGCGATGTCATGGCAGGGGACACCAGAAATGGGCTTCACACATTGTACCCAAGTATGGTTTTACCCATATGGGGAATCGAATCCGGATCTTCGGTGTCACGAGCGAACGCTTTAACCACTAGGCTACACAACCGCTCCCACGCGCACGTACGCACGCATGCACGCGCGGGCATAAAAATACAAATTGTGTCTAATAGTCACAAATTGATTCACTTGATTGTCGAGTGAAGGAAGCATTACTGTCCGCGTTAGGCAACAAACAAATATTTATGGAAATTGTGTGAGTGAGGGTAAATTGTAAACAACGTTGATAACAAACACGCTTATGGCGAATTGTTTGTTGTTTAACGCCGCACTCAGCAATCCTCCAGCTATAGTCGATATAAAGGACCCGTGAAGATCCGGGTTAGAATTGATCTTCAGTAACCCATGCTTGTCGTATTAGGCGACGAACGGGATTGGGTGGTCAGGCTCGCCGACTTGGTTGACACATATCATATCTCAATTGCGTAGATTAATGCCCTTGCTGTTGATCACTGGATTGTCTGGTCCAGACTTGATTATTTACAGACCGCCGCCATGTAGCTGGAATATTGCTGAGTGCGGCGTAAAACAACCAACCAACCTTACAAAAACGAGCAAAAAGTGTCAAAATTAACAAATGATCAATGGCCAAGATGTCACGTTGTCGCGGATTGGTTAATTCTGACACTGCAGCGTAAAACTAAATTCACTCACTCACTCACTCCAGCTATACAGCGGCGGTTGTTGCGAACTGACGAATATAATAAACCAGATCTGGACCCGGACATTTTCTGTATATTTTAGTCGAATGATGTGTAACGAACTACAGTTATCACGAACTAAAATTAGTTGTCCCATTATGTTCGTTATAACCATAGTTTACTGCAACTTGCGGGACGGTAGGGTAGCCTAGTGGGTAAAGCGTTGGCTTGTCACGCCTAAGACCCGGGTTCGATTCCCCATATGGGTACAATGTGTGAAGCCCGTTTCTGGTGTCCCCCGCCGTGATATTGCTGAAACATTTCTAAAAGCGGCGTAAAACTATATTCACTCACCTGCTGCAACTTGAATGCAGAATGTCGAACCGCGGCAATAAACATCATTCACTCTTACTCGTCAGAACACCTGGTAAGCAGTCGGCCAACCAATACTGGTTATATGAGACCAATAATCTTTCTGTAGTGCAAACCAATTTTCCAAGGGTTCCTGGAATCTCCGTAATTGTTGATTATATCCATATATGATATTCGTTATGCCCCAGGCAGACACAATCCGAAGGCCAGTGTGTGTCATTAGCTTTCTCACGGCACGTGGCGAGTCTGCGATGTATTCCTGTATATTTCGGTCATATTATCAGATATATCACTGTGCGTGTATATCCCAGGAGACAAGGGGCGCCTAATTACCCTCCTAAGCAGGGGCCGGGGAGATTAGGGGGTAGGGAGCAATTAAACACGAGGCTGCATTTGTCAGCATGCTTATCGGCATAACGTAAGATATTAGCGTATTCCTTCCAGCAAAGTTAGACTGACATAAATCGGAAAGAAATCTTATTTAAAATATATATTAACATCAACATTAATATTCAAGTGGATTCCAGGACAATTGTTAAATTCAGTGAGAGAGTGATTTTAGTTTTATGACACACTCTGCAATATTCCAGCTATATGGCGGCGGTTTGTAAATAATATAGTCTGGACCAGACAATCCAGTGATCAACAGCATGATCACATATCTACGCAATTGGGATACGAAGACATGTGTCAACCAAATCAGCAAGTCTGACCACCCGATCCCATTTGTCAGCATGCTTATCGGTATAACGTAAGATATTAACGTATTCCTTCCAGCAAAGTTAGACTAACATAAGTCGGAAAGAAATCTTATTTAAAATATATATCAACATTACCATTAATATTCAAGTGGATTCTGGGACAATTGTTAAATTCAGTGAGTGAGTGAGTTTAGTTTTACGCCGCACCCAGCAATATTCCAGCTGTATGGCGGTGGTTTGTAAATAATACAGTCTGGACCAGACAATCGAGTGATCAACAGCATGATCATCGATCTACGAAATTGGGATACGAAGACATGTGTCAACCAGGTCAGCGAGCCTTACCATCCGATCCCGTTAGTCGCCTCTTACGACAAGTATGGGTGACTGAAGATCAACTCTAACCCGGATCTTGGCGGGTCGTTAAATTCAGAAAAGAGACAAGTCGCAACAATATACGTAAATGATGGAATAACTGATACTAGGTTTTACTCGAAAAAAAAATCATACTCTGGGCTATTTGATGTCCTGAAAAATATCAGCAACCCACTGCAGACTGTATGCTCGAAGTCCACTTGCTTGTCGCAGGAATCGAATAAACTGGAATCACTAGAGATTCACGGGTATAACTTGGTCTGCAACTTCTGCTGTTGAGAGAAGCGCAGGCCCTCCTGTCTTTGCGAGGATTAAAGATTTCATAACATATATATAAAATTGAGATGATTTCGACTCGAAATGCTTCACAGTATAATACATTATGATGTGTTGTACTGTGAAGCATTTCGAGTCGGGGGTCATCTCAAAACAATATTTTGTTTAATCATTAATCCTCGTAAAGACACGAGGGTCTGTGGGTATAAGAGGTATAACGGTATTTATCGATTTTCATTTTTACAGATTTTCATATTGTCAAACACTGGATGATTGTATGTAGTTTGTTTGTTTGTTTGTTTGTTGTTTAGCGCCGCACTCAGCAATATTCGCGCTTTTTGACAATCCAGTGATCAGCCATGAGCATCAATCAACGCAACTGGGACACGATGACATGTGTCAACCAAGTCAGCGAGCCTGACAACCCGATCCTGTTAGTCGTCTATTACGACAAGCATGGGTTGCTGAAGATCAATTCTAACCCTGACCTTTGCGTGTCTCTCTATTATTTACAGGTCACAGGTAACCGTCTGATACATGGAATATTGCCGAGTTTGTTGTTTAGCGCCGCACTCAGCAATATTCGCGCTTTTGACAATCCAGTGATCAGCCATGAGCATCAATCAACGCAACTGGGACACGATGACATGTGTCAACCAAGTCAGCGAGCCTGACAACCCGATCCTGTTAGTCGTCTATTACGACAAGCATGGGTTGCTGAAGATCAATTCTAACCCTGACCTTTGCGTGTCTCTCTATTATTTACAGGTCACAGGTAACCGTCTGATACATGGAATATTGCCGAGTGCTGTGTTGAGCGACATATAACACAAGATGTCCAATTAGAAAGGAAAGCGAGAACAACCTTGCACAACAAAGTAACGATTTCAAACCTATTTACCCAAACTCTGCCAAACCCTGAAATCATGTTCCCGGCGGTACCCTCTCCGCTGAACCTGTCAAGATTCACAACATTGTTTCTAAACAGTTGCGCACTAAATTATCATGAGATCGTGGGGATCCCAGGTGTGCCCTGAATGACACCCATGTTTTTTCAGCACCATACCTGTGACTGTAGGTACACAAAGGGGATTTTCCTCCCAAGCTGGGGGCGGTGGGGTAGCCAGGTGGT